GTCACTTCTGGCCCTGTCTGTGTCCCTGTTTCCCTCTTTCCCCGTCCATTCCTCCCATTCTGAGGATTTAACCCAGAGCTTTTGCCCCGAGCTTCATCCAACCCTTTTCTTTAATTTTTATTTTGAAGCAGGGTCTTACAAAGTCGCTGTGTTGCCCAGGCAGAGAGTGAACTTTCGGTCTCCTGCCTCAGCCTCCCAGAGTGTGCACCAGCATGGCCGGCTTCCTCCTCCCCTCGGAGTACAAAATACAGTTGTGTCCACTCGAGGGAGAAGCATGCAGCTGATTGGATGAGCACAGTTCTGGGTGTGGCTGAGGGGTTTGTTTACTGAAGCAGAAGACCCAGCCTGGCTGTGAGTGGCACCAGGCAGCGGGCTCGAGCCCCAAACCGGGTGAGAAGGGAAAGGAAGAAGGAAGGCGCTTCTGTTTCCTCCGAGTAGCTCCAGTCTTCAGCGTCACCTTGGACTCTGTCTCCTGGCTTCCAGCGAAGACCCCGCAGCCTCCTGATCCAGACTCCACGGGACTCCACCGTGTGGCCAGGCCTCTGACCCTGGATGGAGCGCTTCAGCTGTCCCGGGCTTTGCTGCCTCCAAAGCGTGGCCCTTATCTGTGACTTCTGCTCTTCGGCACCCCTAAGAGAACTGCAAAGAACACTTCCCAGAAGCCAGCTCTGCAGAGACAGAGGCCTGGAAGGCAGCTAGGGTCCAGAGCAGGTCGAGGCACCAGCAGCCCAATGTGAGCCGATAGCTGTGGTAAAGTTTCCATCACTTTGCCTGAGGCCTCTCCCGCTGCCAGACGCTGGCAGGACCTGAGCTGTAGCCTGTCTGGGGAGAGCAGCCCTGAGGCCTGGCGCGTGGCCTCCCACACTGTCGGGCATTCGATGCTTGCTGTTTTACAGCAGCCGGTGTGTGGTGACTTACGACAGCCCTCGGAAGCCAGCACAAAAGCTAAAGCTCCACCATGTAGGAAAGGAGAATCAGACGAAGCCATATGAAGAGGTAACGGTAAGGCCATAGAGCTCTGTGGCTAGGGGAAGGGTTCCTCAGGTACTCTAGGAGGAAAAAATCACTTGCGAGGAGGAAAGATAAAGGCAGGCCTCAGATTTCTCATGAACATTTGGTGTTGAGAGACACTGGGAAATAAAGTGTTGTTAAGGGACTCAAATGCATAAAAGCCAGGCGGCTCCTTCTTCCAGGTCAGAAGCCTTGGTGAGACACTGAGACCGTGAGCGCCCATCCGGGGATGGGCCAGCCACATGTGGGGCTGCTAGGAGGCAGCAAACCTGCTTCCTCAGAGGATGACTGAGTATCTGTGAGGAACACTTGTCAAAAGTGACCCTGGAGGGGGTTTAGCTCAGTGGTTCTGCCGCCTGACCCGCAAGCACAAGATCCTGAGTTCTATCCTTGGTATCCGCCCCCCCAAAAAACCAAAGTGAACCTGGAGACTATAACAGTGGTATAATCTATCACATGATTTACAGAACAGAGATTTGGGGACCTTTTAAAGGACAATCACCACCACCAGGGCATTCCTCCTTGATGGAAGACGATAGTGACAGGCAGTAGGGAGAAATATAGGCAAGCACGTGAAAAAAAGAAGGTTTTAGGTGCATGATATAAAAGTGTAAGAAGACAGACACCTCATGAAGTAAAGATAATGTTAGAGCTCTCTTTTTCCATCTCTCCTGCCCTGTGTGTCACGGTTTAGATCCAAAATGTGCCCTGAAAGTCTCACGTGTTCATAGCGGGGGCTTGGGAAGCTGATTAGATCATTGGGGTGCTGTGTTCTTCAGTGGGCTCATCCAGGGATGAGGCCTCGGAAGGAAGTGGGGCCCGGTTAGGAGAGGTTTTCTGAGTCACTTTTCTCACTGCTGGGGCAAAGTATCTGGTACTCACACTTAAAGTAGGAGAGTCTTACCTGGGCTCACAGTTTTGAGAGGTTTCAGTTCATGGTGAGCTGGCTCCAAGCGGAAATCACACGGCACAGAGGTGTGGTGGGTGAAAAGCTGCTCGTGTCATGGCGAACAGGAAGCAGAGAGCCAAGGGCGTGGGAAGCCAAGGAGAGAGAGATGCTCTTCCAGGTCACGGCTACAGCAGCTGCCTCCTAACAGCACACTGGCTGCTGAACTCATTAGTGGATGAAACCCGGATGACTGCAGGTCCCTCATGATCCGGTCACCTCCCAGAAGCCTCACTTCTGAGCACATGAGACTTTGGGGGGACCAGGACAAGGTGTGTCACTGGGCATGGCCTTGCAGGATATCCTTCCTCCCTGGCTCTTCCCTTTTTTCATTGTTTCCTGGCTCCCGTGAGCAACATTCCTCCACCACATCCTTTCATGATGCTGCTTCAGCCTTGGAAACTAAACTAAGTCAAAATAAACTGAAACTCAGTCAAAATAAACCTCTGCTCCTGTAAGGTGTGGATGTCAGGTATTTTGTTGCAGCGATGACAAAATGACTAAGACGCCTAGGACCCCCCCACTCCAGGAGCTTGCTTTTGTCAGATTTCAGAGTGGGGAGCCCACAAATACATCCTGACTTGATTTAGCAAGAGAAGAGTTTAAAGGGTAGCGTATAAAAATCACAGCGAAAATAAAAACATACATCAAACTTGCAGACCACACCAGAAGAATTCTTAAAACAAGGAAGTCTTTGAGGAAGGATTTTAAAAACAAAGGAAGAAACTTTGAAACAGAAAGAGAACATGTATGTCACTGGATATACATTATGTGGGGTAAACACATCTCTTATAAGAATTGAGAGGTTTTTACTTCTCCATTGTTGGTGTGGGAGTGCAGACTGGTGCAACCACTATGGAAATCAATATGGAGATACCTCAAAGAGCTTGGACTGGAGGTTCCATTTGACCCAGCCATCCCTCTGCTGGGTATCTTTCCAAAAGAACTAAAAGAATCATATCACAGAGAAGTATGCACACCTATGTTTATAGTGGCACAGTTTGTAATAGCTAAAACTTGGAAACAGCCATTTTGCCCATCAGTTGGAAACTGGATAAAGAAGATGTGGTTTTTCTATTAAAATGGAATATTACTCAGCCATAAAGAATGAGAAAATAGATTCATTCATAGGAAAATGGATACATATTGAAGATATACTCCTAAGTGAAATAAATAAGGCACACATGTGTAAATACCGAATAGTTTCTCTGGTTTGAATAATCTGCAATAATACAGAAGATCCTAATAAGATTACTGACATTGAGAAATGGGAAGAAAGGAGCTAAAGGTGTAGGGAAGGTGGGACGGGTAGGGGAAGGGTAAAAAGGGAAAAGAAAAAAGTGTGAGATAATGAAAAGATGGAAATAAAGTGTTTGTAGATGGGGAGGGGAGGAGGGGGTGAAGGGAGGGCAGGGGTAAGGGGAAAAAATGAGAATCAAGACTTGTCATGTGGAGGTACAAGATCCCAACAATGAATGTAACTTTACTGTATCCCTAAAATGTACCAATAAACTCAATTAAAGCTGAAAAAAAAAAAAGAATTGAGAGGTTTTTAAATGGAACTAAGATCCTGATATCCCTCTTGCCTTTTTTTTCTTTGAGGATCTTGTTGTGATAGCCGTTCACAATTGGCTGCTTTTTTTTTTTTTTTGGTACTAGGCATGGAACACGAGACCTTGTGCTTGCGAGGCAGGCTGCAGAACCACTGAGCCAATCCCTGGCCCGTAGCCCTCCACAACTGTAATGCTTGTGTCTGTGAGCAAACAGCAGGGAATCCTGCCCTGGCAGGAATATCCGGTTGAGCCAGACTGACCTACCCTGGTTCCCCACACCTGCCTGTGCTGTTCACTGACTGGGAAGCTCAGCTCCCACCAGATCATCTCCAGTAAAGTCCACTTCAGTCACCTCTTGGGCCCCACACCCAAGGGTCCAGCCAACCACAAATACGAGAAAACTGTTGGACGTGTGCAGGCGCCTCTTGTCACGATTCCTTAGACAGTGCAGCGTAACAGCTACTCACAGGTCATTTGCTGTTAGTTACTGCATGAACCCCGGGTTCCTGTGAAGGGCTGTGTAGGTTCCATGCAGATGCCATCCCCTTCGATGCACTGGGCATCCCGGATTTGGTATCTGGGGGTCCTGAAACCAGTCCCTCTGACGCCGAGGAAGGACTGTAAATCTGAGTAATTAGTTAGTGCCCCTTTCACATTTATGAGAAATTCAGATCTAATAAAAGTTGTACTTGGGAACTTGGATCTGTTGAACTCGAATATTTGAGTGGATTACTGGGTTTTACATTTACATAGAGTGTTGCCTCGGTTCAGGGACACTTTGGCTTGCAAGGAATTTGGTTCACAAACAGAAGCATTGGGCAGAATTTAGTTTTTGTTTGTGCACTCTGCGTCAGGCAGTGATCATGATCACAGCCATCTTCCCGGCATGAGCACGGACGTGGCCATCTTTTTTCCAGAACAGTAGAACGAATTAAGTGCATCAACCAAGGTCTCAAAGTGTATTTTCCCATCTAAAATCAATTCCGTAGCGGGTAAGATCTTGCAGCAAGAGCTGAACCTGACAGGCCAGGGGTGGTGGCTGGTGGGAAGCAGACAGAAGGAGGAATGAAGGACCAGTTGGGGAAAGGTGGAAGATGGCCACGGCGGGGACCTTGGTGGCGCGGAGGAAAGGCAGCGCCGGAGACAGCTCCAAGCCCCTGAGCCTCCCAGACGCGGGGAAGCTGAGCTACAGATGGAGGAGTCCCAGGGCTGGGGCAGGATTGGGACCGGCGGTGCCGTTCTGCTCATGTGTGTGTCTCAGCCGGTGCCATTTCTGCCTCCGCTGCAGGCTTCTTCCTGGACTGTGATCAGATTTCGGTTCATAACAGCTTTTTCCGCTCACCACTGTATGTTCTGGCTAACTGATAGAGTGTTCTTGGAACCTAGTTTTGTTTTGTTTTGTTTTTAACAAAAAATATTCAAGAATACTTCCTTATTCAGATAAACTGATGCTTTCTGTTTTTGTTTTGTTTTGTTTTTTCCTCCTCGAAATGCGAAAGCTGCAGATTCTTGTCGACACTGGAAGCAGCAACTTCGCCGTGGCAGGAGCCCCTCACCCCTACGTCGACTCCTACTTCGACTCAGGGAGGTAAGTGGGGAGGTAGCCAGCGTGGCGGGTTTGGGGACAGGGCGTGCAGTGGCACCCTCCCGAATATTCTAGGACGAAGCAGACGGAAGGCTGCCTCATTTTCAGAGCTGTGGATGCATGCACATATGTCTGTGTATAGACCTGCACATGCATATGTACGTAAAGCGCGTGTGTACACGTGTGTATGTGCGTGTGCACACACCTGCGTATATTTCACTCCAGGGACTCCACGGCAGCATTTCCCTAAGAGCCACAGCGCGTTCACATGGACTGGGCATTACAGAATTTCATGTGAGGTGCAAGTTTTGCGGTTAGCCCAGAATTTCCGGGAGCTTGTGGCCCAGAGTTTCCTTTGATGTTTCCCACAGCCCCTCTGGTCCTCACAGGGAGGCTGGAACAGGGGAGCATCCTGTGAGAGCTGAAGGAGGCCCGTGCAGGCATGCAGCAGACATGGAAACCTGCCTTTGCCCATTCAGGGGGGCTGGGGCAGCTCACAGGACCGACTCTAGGGGCAGAGATCTGTGACTCTCTAGGAACTAAGTGCTGTGAGGACAGACAGGGGCCTGAGATGGAGTCTGCACCCTGGTGATGATGGGGTGAGAGTGTACGAAAGGACTGCAGCCCACCAGAGTCCCTGGAATGTGGGGAGCTAGTCCCAGGGCAGACCCCGGCTCCCACTTCCCAGGAGAACTAAATGAGTTGCCGGGAGGACTCCCAGTGGCTCGTGTCACCTTCCAGCCCTGGGGGAAAGCCAGGGTCTGAGTCCCCCTTCTCGAATCCGGAAGCTTCTCTAAGGCTGTGCACATGTTAACGTCATGGCTGTTTGGTTGTAACTGAAATTTAAACTACAGTCAGAGCTGATAAGCCGGCATGCAGTGGTGACTGTGGCCTTCCCCACGGTAAAACCCTTTCATCTCTTCCTTTCCTCCGTAACCCAAGCCACGTTTCTTGTTCCAGAGGCCAAAGGCCAGGTCGAATGAGGAGAAGGGGGGAGAAAGCAAATCTGGGAGGCTTCTGAAGGGGCCGGGGAAGTGAACAGAGTGAACGGCCTGGGTGTGACGGAGGAGACCCGCCCGGTCCCGCCCAACCGTGTTCCGACTCCGCTGCATGGCGGGTGACACGGTCTCCTGAACGCAGCTGCACCTGCTTTCTGGGGAGGGGGTGTGACCGTCAGTGGCTGATGGAGCCTCCCAGGGCAACAGATCCCTGAGGGCGACCCATCCTTCGCAGAACTTAGAGGGGTCGATGTGAGTCCTTGCACTAATAAAGGCCGGTCACTGATCCCCCGGACACACAGCTGGCCGCGGTCATCTTGGGACCCAGAAGACTAATGTGTGCTGGAAGTCGCTGCTATCGTGTGTCGAAGTGGATGGTGTGTCCCTGTGTGATGCGAAAGCAGCTGCTGTGCAATGCCCTGTGCTGCCTTTTCCCTCTGAGACTAGAGGTTCAGCCCGGTCCTTCGCCCCCACGCGACCCCCCATCTCCCAGGGCTTGTTCTGGGCAGTCTCACAATTGTCTCATCCTCTCATTTTCATCCACGTGGTTTGGGAAGTCAGGGTTGCAAGGCTCCTGCTTGCATTCCAGCTGCTAGACCCGCAGTTGCCCTACTTTCTGCCCACATCCCCTCTTTATAACAAGTGCTTTGCGAGGCGCTGAAATGAGATCAAGCATCGTATAACTCACGTGCGTACAAAATTCTCAGTGCCCTGATGTAATACAGCTGGGACATCCGCACTTAGGAAATCTGAAATGGTCCAAAATCCAAAGCTTTTGAACACCAACCTAATGCAGCAAGTAAAAAATTCCACCCCTGCCTCGGTGACAGGTCTCAGCCAAAGCACAGAGCACTAAAAATACTGTAAAGCATCACCTTCGGGCTACATGTGAGGTGTGTCTGAAACGTAAATAAATCCCATGTCCCATTTCCCACAGTATCCCATCATACATGTGCAAATATTCCCAAATCCAAAAGATCCAAAACTTGAAATACTTCTGGTCCTGTGTATTTCGAATAGAGGACAGGGAGCCTGTGTGGAGGAAGAAATGGAAGGAAGGCGTAGTGAGATCATCCGTGCCTCGATCCATGAGCACCTGGCTGGGCCTCTATGGTGGACAGGGTGCAGTGCTGACTTGTTCGGCTGTGAGATCCACTTGAGGCTTGGCGGGGCACACTTCTGAGAATGTCTGGGTGGCCGTGGAGGCATGGTCTTGGGCTCTGTGTGGTCTCTCACCCTTTCCTCTTCGGCAGTTTCTCTGCTCTTCTGCCCAGCTGCCATGAACCAAGAAGTATCACTGCACCACACACTCCCGCCATGATGGGTCTGCATTGGAGCAGCCGACCATGGACTGAATCTCCTGAAACCATCAGCCGCGTGGAACTTCTCCTCTAAGCTGGGGGAAAGCTGACTAATGCACCCTAACCTGGAGACCGGGAAGAAGGGGGCTAGAGCTGTGTCACCATGGACATGTACCACCCGGTGTGGGCTGGTCGGGGCTGTTGAAGTTAGAGTCAGACACTTGGGTTGTTAATACAATTTTCTGAAGTGATAAAGAATCCTCATTAAAATTTTTATTTTTTTTTAGTATAAGCTGCTCCCAGTCAGCACAGTAGTTAATATCCAATGCCTATGAAATCTGCATCAAGAACTGTTTCTGTTTGTGTTTAGTTGTCCCCCCTGAGGTGGGATATTCTTTTTCAGAGGACCTGAATCCGGAGTGTGTAATGCTGGGATTAAGGGTGTGTGATTACTAAACTACTACATGTGAGTGATTAGTTTGGCACCACCCTAATCCCGGTGGTCTGAATAAGATAAAAGGGGCAGAAAGATGCTGTTAAACTCTCCTGTTACCCTTGCTGCCTTGTGTGTGCCATGTTGTTTCTCCTCCGTGATGCCTGTTGCCATCCCAACTTGGAGCCGGCTGTCTGTGGACCGAACCTCTATGAACCATAAGCCAAATAAGCCCCTTCCCATTTAACTTTGAATGTCGGGTAGTTTGTTTCATCAATGAGAGAAAACTCACACAAGAACGCTTAATGCCTATGGGAGAGGGAGGTGCATCCTGAGCTCAGGTGAGACTCGTTTCACCCTTGTGGGTGCCCAGACGGATGGGTAGCTGTTCTTGTTCTGGAATCCATGACTTATACTTCCATGACTTTTAGTGACCAGGAGGAAATACCTGTCACTGTGTGTGACTAGATACTGTTTTAGGGCGAGTGCTGTCTCTGCCCTCACAGTTGCGCCCCCTGTCCTGGGGATTGAACACAAAGCCTTTGCAATGAGCTTTGTCCAGCCTTTTCTTCCTTTGAGATAGGCTCTTACTAAATTGCTGTGTTTGTACCTTGCCCTCCTGGCACCAGGGATCCTGTGTCCTTTCCTGTCGCACAGCTGTTGACAGATGATACAACAGAGAGAAGCAGCAAAGCCAACCTGGGGCATGACATACAGATGCCTTCAGTTTATATGTGTGGCCTTAACCCGGATGCTTCTTCCTAGCTGGAAGTAGATGGGGGGGCTTTCTCTGGCAGCTGCCTGTTGCTGGTTTCATAAAACTCAAAGTTCGCCTGTCCACCCAGGCGTCATGCTGAGTAGTGTGGGAACACCCAAGGGTGAATCACGGTCCCCATCAGCACAACTGTGTACCTGTCACTTAGTGATATTTAATCACTGGAACCCAGCTGGGCCTCCTTCTCAGGACGCCTCTGCCTGTGGCTGCCACTAGGATGATGTGTGGCTCCCACGGGGCTCAGGAGGATGTGCCTGTCCTGCTGCCCTGCTGAGCTCGCCCAGCTTGTGGGTGGATATTGTGCCTGTACCAGGTGTGTGCTGGGGCGGCCAGGTGTGTGCTGGGTAGCAGGTGGCTCCTTTTTGCCCTACTTAGAGGTTGGGCTTCTCTGGCCCAGCTGAGTCAGAATTAAGGCTCCCAGCGCCTCCATGGTTCCCTGGAAGGCCACGCATTCTCTCTGCTAATCTCAAAATGGAATTAGAGTCACCCCACTGGCTGTTTGACCACTGAAGTATCTGATCCCTCTTTGTGAATAAATAAAAAGATAAATAACAGAGCCCACCTGTGTCTGGGGGACCCTGGCCTTCCCTCCAGATCAGTTCCAACCCCCGCCCCCAGCACACTGCTACTTCCTTGTTGCTACCTCCTGAGCAAGTACTGCAGGAATTGACTTCCTGTGTGCAAAACAGCACCCACATCCGGGTCCCTGACCCAGGAGCTGCCTCCTTTTCCAAGAGAACATTCTTCAGCAAGGCTGTAAGCCTTCTTAGCTGAATCAGTCAGGAAGCACCCTGTTTCTGAGCTGGAGACAGATTCTGATCCACCAACCACAGCCCTGTTGCCATGCCTCCTGTACAGGTGACTTCCTTCCTTAGATTAATCTTAACCTTCTCCCTTTTTCACTCTATTTTTTCAACTCCTCATAGTCTTATAGTCAACACATTTACTATTGTAAAGATACAAATAAATATTTTCCAGGTAAATTATGTGATACTTAGTTTACCTGTTGCTTTTGCTGGCTTTAACCTTTGGCTGTTTTCAGCCATCATAATTTATGGAAGCCGAGAGAACTCTCATTTTTTGACAAAAGTGACTTTCCTGGGATGTGGCTTCCTGTCCTGTGATGTGTCAACATTTGCTTCAGCCTCTGATCTCTCTTAGTTATAATAAGGTTTCTGGCTGGATTTGTCAGCTCTGATTCAAGTCCCCAGTCTTGGGGCATTTGGGTTTGTGCTTCCTGAAACATCCTACAGTAATTGGAAGTTTGGCTTGGGTTTCTTTGAGAAGATCTCTTTGATTTATGACAGGAGATTTCTGGCTACTCTGAGTCACTCGTACAGCTGGTCCCCAACAAAGCCCTCTTTGCACGGTGGCAGGTGTACCGGTAAGGTACCATGCAGGAAGAAAAAGAGTCATGTGTTCTTTAAATGCCATTCTTTTCAGCCAGTAAGATAGTCTGGCCGCTTGGCTTGTGTGTCCCGGACTTTGTCCAGATCTGTCTGGGAAATCACACCTGCATTTCCTTTAACAGCTCCTTGCTCCTGTACTCCACCTGGGGGGTGAAGCCCCCAGAGCAGGTGTAACAGGAAACCCATTTACAGGTCTTTTGCCGCTGACACATAGAAATGGACCTCGGTCCAGGAGGGGGACTGGCATTTCCAGGCCTTTTCTGAGGATCTCCGTGTACCATGAGGCCGGTACATAAGGCTTACTGAGCTGCTCCCTGCCTCAGGGATCCCATTGCTCTGTTCTGGTGACTTCCAGAGTCCTGGAGGAGCTGGGAGGATGGCCAGGCCAGGCCACTGAGCCCACAGTTAGGTTCCAGACACTTCAAGTGCAGAGGAGCCTAGGGTACTCTGGGGCAGAGCCTGGAGACCCAGAGAACCAGAGCAGATAATTCCTTCCTTCTACCTTCTCCTAGAACAACGGAGAGTTTAAAGTGATAATGATGGTCAGCGTGATGAGATGTTCTATGGCTCCGTTCTCCCTTTCAGTTAATGCCGCTCTTTAATCTTGCCTTCCATGGACGGACGCCTTGTCAGAGGCAGCGTCTTCCAAATTTGTTTGAAAAGCACTCTCCTTGCGTGAGCAGACTTTTTCCCAGCTTTTCACTCTTGACTGATTGCTCTTTCTGAGCGCACGAATGAGAAGCCCACCCAGGCTCTCTCTCCATACACATAATTAATATGCTGAGAAGTTGGGGATCAAAGCCCTGCAGCTACAAACGGCAGGCCTTTAGAAAATGAAGTTGGGCCTTTTTTTAAATTTAAAGTACTGGAAACTATATGCTCATAAGCTGCCAAGTTGCTTGGAAGTCCTCTCTGGGGTTGAACGCTTTAAGGGTTAGTAAGAGGATCCCAGAGAACAAGAGCTCAGAATTACCCATCTCATACTGTCTCTGACGGTATTTCCACAAGCTTAGCTGGTGCTCGCCGTAGCTGTTTAAATTCAAATGGATTCATATTAAATGAGATGAAAGCCCAGTTCTTGGTCACACTGTCCTCACATTTCCAAGCGTTCAGTGGCTTCGTGTGGCTCCCGTATTGGACTGCGTCTCTGCGGGAAGTAGGCTCTGGTGGACCTGGACGGTGCTGATCCAAGAGGCAAAGGAACTTGATCTTTCAAGAGCCCAGTGCTCAGGGGCTCGAAAGCTCTGCCCTCCCCTGCCTCCTTAGCAAAGCCACCCCCGCCTGGGGAATGAGCACCCCTTCTCTTGGGGGCTGCTGGGTGTTAGAACGAGGTAGGGCCCAGTCAAAATAGCAGCGCTTTCTGGGGGAAAAGTTGAGTTTCCTAGTTTCTCACCTCACAGATTGGAGAAAAAGCAAGTGATGAGCAGATAAGGACAACAGTAGCAGCTACTTTTGTTGCATACCTCTTGTGCTCCAAGGCTGTGTCTAAATGCTTTACAGTATTAACTCTTTTTATCTGCATAATTAACTGGAAGCATTGTAGTAGATTATCCCCATGTTTCAGTTGAGGCCATTGAGGCACAAGGGACTTAAATAACTTGGCCCCAGTCATATGGCTAAAGAGCACTTGTGCTTGTGCTGGAACCTGGACCCTGTAACTCCCCCGCCTCTCCCCTCTCTCTGCAAATGGCACTGACATGCCCCGAGTGCTTCCATCGGCCTGCAGCCTGGGCAGGAACTGTAGGGGACGTGCCTAGTTGGCCAGGCTGGTTCAGCTTCTCACTCTAAGGACTTCGCTGTAGGCTGGAGGAAGTCAAAATAAAACAGGCTTTCAAAAGGAGCCCATAACAGAGGGGGCTGCTTGAGGAAGATAACTAAATTCCGAGACCGAGGAGTCGCACTCGAGCTTAGTTACCTTCTGTCACTGAGATAAATAGCAGACACCCCCAATTTAGAGGAAGAACAGTCTATTTTGGCCCAAAGTTTCACTGTACAGTCAGATGGCTTTGAGGCAGGAAGGGTCGGGTGAAGGAGAGCTGCTCACATCGTGGCTGACAGGAAGCAGAGAGAGCAAGAGGAGCCAGGCAAGGAGACAGACCCTGCCAGGCCACTCCCCCATAACCTCCTCTTCCAACCAGATTCCGCCTCCTATCAGCGAGTCAGTGATGTCGCCCCCGTGATTCAGTCGCTTTCCAAATGCCCTACAGATGAGCCCGTGAGGCCTTTGGGGGACACTCAGTCCTAACCACAACACTAGCCATTGGGCCAAATCTGACTGCAGCCGGTCTTTGTAAATAAAGTTTTATTGGAACACAGCCTCACACCTTCCTTTCTGTATCACCTGTGGCTGCTTCTGCTTCAGAGCTGTAGCGCTTGGCAGTTGTGACAGACAGCTGGTAGTGTGCAAATCCTGGAGCACGGGGGGTGGCTCTTCACAGAAAACTGTGCTGACTCCTCTGCTGAGGAGTGTTGGGTGGGTCTGTGAGCTCAGAGGGCCAGGTCCAGTTTGCTCCCACCTTTCTGTCCTGCCCCTCATTCTTAGGAGAAGCGTGTGACATGTTCATTTAATGTCTTTCACTTTAAGGCCATGGTGGAGTGAGCGGAAATAATAAGCAGATACTAAAATTCAGTACTCTTCATCGTCTGTAACTCATTATCCTGTTCCAATTATTTAAATTTCTCTAAAACTTGTTTACCAGCCATTTTCAAAGTAACATTTTTTCTTGATTCTAAGAGTTTTAGATGCAGAGAATGGGGAAAAATTTAGCCACAGCAACAGAAGCTCCCCTACCCCCACCCAGAGGCAGCCAGCACTGATATTTGACAGGAATGAGTAATTTTTAAGTAGATTCTGTGTGCATGTTTCCTTGAACTTTATTTTCTCCTCTATGTTATTTAAAATGTCTCAGTAAAAACCATTTTTCATTGCCAGAGAGTAATCTGTCATACAGATGGGTCGTAATTTACGGAGTTATTTTTGCCTTTTTACTGGGCCTTGTCTCCAGCTGTTTGCTGTTATTGATAAAATATAGTGACCATCTTTGTACATGAGGCTCTGTCGTTTTCCTTGCTTTGCCCTCAGAATCAGACTCTCAGAAGTGCGTAAGTTAAACGCAGTTGATATTTTTAAGGCTTATGAGATGTGCCAAAAATAAACACATAAATAAAAGGTCAGTCCATTCTGACTTCCTTTCTGACCCCAAGCAAGAGGTCACTTGTGCTTCTCTTCCTATAGCAGAGATTGCTAGTTTGTCTCAGCGTGGCACTATGTGTCAAAGCAAAGTGAAATGAAACTCAGGCAAACAGGGGCCCTTTGAAAATATTTACTTGGTGCTTTGATGCTTGTCTTAGGGACTTAGTGGTTTGCTTAAGGGAGAGGCTGGATGACTATCTAGACTTCTATCTGGAGATGTTTTTTTAGTTTTCAAGCTCCAGGTATAACGGTGGCCTTGGAAACCCCACCCTCTCCTCTCCCCAGGAGCCACACGGCTCTCTGTCATCACTCAGGCCTGGTACAAGTGGCCTCAGGTCGCTGGCTCTCCCATGTCCTACCTGGTGGCCTGGTGGCTCGGCCCCACTCGCACACACCGGAAGTTGTGTGTACACACACACCCAGTGCCTGTGCTCGCTTGGGGTACCCTGCAGAGTGGGGATCCCACTTGCCCCTTGCCCCTTGTCCCATTATTCTGCCCTTGAGGTGCATGTGTGCCGGGTTCGAGGTCACCGTGTGTCATCGTGTGCATTTGGATGAGCTCTGAAGCGTTGGCCACGCCTGAGGAAGGGCTGTGACACTGGCGACAGGCAGTGCAGGCTCTGAAGAGCAAGGACCTGGGTTTGGGTCTGGGCTTGGCCTTTCTGCATCTTAAGGATCCTATGTGTGAATCTGCACCACAGTCACTACTGGGGTGGGCTGGTGGCACATCCTCCTGGTCTGTCCTGTGTCACAGAGCAGCAGCCAGTGTCCCCGCAAAGCCAGGCCCGGGCCAGGCAGGTGGCCAGAGCTGGCCATGTCCAGAGCTCTGCTTCAGGGCTGTGACACAGGTATGGGCTAATTAAATTCGAGCACTGTGTCGGCACCAGGTCCTCAAAGGCAGGAAAGTGTCACGGTGTCACCGGAGTGTCTGGGGAGCCTTCCTAGGGTGGTCTGCAGGGACGCCATTGATTGTCAGAGTCCCTTACAGTTGGCCTTGTCGGGCTGCGTCAGGACGGCTGTCTGCGCCACAGTGGCTTCTGCCCTGTCTTTAAGGGTTGGGACAGCCTGACGGGTTGCTCGCCTCCTGCTGCAGGTCCAGCACATACCAGTCCTCGGGCTTCGATGTCACCGTGAGGTACACACAGGGCAGCTGGACGGGCCTCGTGGGCCAGGACGTTGTCACTGTCCCCAGAGCCTTCAACACTTCCTTTCTTGTCAACATCGCCACCATCTTTGAGTCGGAGAATTTCTTTCTGCCCGGGATCAAGTGGAACGGAATCCTTGGGCTCGCGTACGCTGCCCTGGCCAAGGTAAGGTGACTGATCCAGGGCCTGAAGTAAATCCTGTCACGGGGTGGGGCCCTGACAACCAGCCCTGGGGACGGGCGAGGACGAAAATCACGTCAGCAGACATCAAACCTGAGGAGCACAGAGCAATTCTCTGAGCCTTCTTAGAAGAGAGATACTAGCACCGACTTTTTATTTTGGCTTTGCTTGTTTTCGTTCTGTAGCTTAAAAAAAAATGCGAGCAAAATCCACATCATATTGATGAGGAGTTTTGCTTAGGAGTTTTCTCCTGTCACCTTGGGAGACCTCGGAGGAGACACAAGGCCCAGAAGTGGGAATTCCCGGCCCCTCTGTGAGCAGAGAGCCAGTAGAAAGTGGGGCACACTGGCCCTAGGCTGCAGCTGAGCCTTCACAAAACGGGGTGACACGGCGTTGGATGCTCTGGAGGTATCAGTCCCAGGGCCCAGCATGGAGGAAACACTGGTGAGCAGAAGAGGAGAGGACAGGCAGGTTCAAGCAGAACTGACACAGGGGTTGCCTCTGCCAGTGCCAGCCCTGGCTACGTTGTCAGCCCCAGGGTTTGCACCGGAGCTGGGAGACAGAGGAAGCGCAGTTGCAGAGCAGTGGGCCCTGCTGCCCAAGGCTGTAGAGCGTTTGTTCAGCCCGGGTTCTTTAACAGCTGCTGCAGGCTGGGGCGCGGACGAAGAGCCCTGTCCTTGGTTTCCCCAGGGGAAAGGGTAGCAGTGACCCTCGGGTGAGAACAGTCACACAGGGCTCACACCTCCCCTCCACGGGACCTCTCGTCTGTTCTCCAGTGTAATTCCAAGAGTTTTAACAAGGGGCTCCAGACTCCCGGGTGGAGGAGCAGCGACCATAGTCGGGAGCGTCAGGGGTCCGGCTGGGCATCGGTGTCTTTGAACAGGGAGTCCCTGTTCACCTTGGTTTGCTCCACTGCGGACACGCGGCCCATGTCCACCTGCAGGATCGGCCTGCCTGGGACGGACCCTCAGCCACTGAGCCAGCTAAACCCCTCAGGGCATCTCGAGGCCCAGTGGTGGTGCAGAAAGACTGGCGGAGAAGTGACCCTGGACCCTCTGCCAGGCACTCACTGCAGATCGATCCACTGTGGGCTGGGATGGTCTGGGGGTGATGACCTTCCCATTTCACAGAGCAGGAAACAGTCAGGGGGCGGGGAGCCGGGCCTCAGCTCCATGCAGCTACGCCACCCGCCCTGCCCCCTCCCGGAAGGTGTACCTGACTGTGTCCCCAGCAGTCATGTCCCCCCCCAGGCCTCAGGGCCTCTCCCTCCCACTGACCCACAGGCAAAGAGTTCTGCCCCAGGGCGCACTTGGAGAGTGCCGAGTTCTCCCTGGGGTCCGCACCACAGCACCCTGGTCTGCACGCTGAGTCAGGAAGCTCTGTCTTTCCCTCCTGCAGCCTTCGAGCTCCCTGGAGACATTCTTCGATTCCCTGGTGACCCAGGCCAAGATCCCCAACGTCTTCTCCATGCAGATGTGCGGGGCCGGATGGCCAGTAGCCAGATCGGGTACCAACGGAGGTAGTCTTGTGGGTATCTCTTAGTCTTAAAGGGACGAAAAAAATCACGAATTGATGGGGGTCATTTCTGTTTTCCGAAAAATCTGCTCAAGAATATCAGGCACATAGGCACACACAGGAACTGCAAAATTTCGATAACCCTTGTTATAGAACCTTTTAAAAGTAGATACCACTGGTTATTCTTTTTATCTTTCCTGATCCTCCTGGTCTGGAACTACAATTTCTGCCCCTAAACTCCTTCACTGTCCTGGGAAAGTGAACAGCGGGTTTGGGGGTGGGGAAGGCACATAAGCAAGGACCAGTGGGGATCCGTGGCAGGGGGCCGTGCTTGTGATGTCACTTGAGGGGACAGCAGAGCCCCTTGGACAGCTTTTATCCTCCTCCCTCCCTCCGTCACTGTCCTTTCCCCCTCTGCCCACACACGCACACACCGAGAAGACTGGGTGTTTCCTACTGAGATGGATTCAAGGCCGTCAGCCCTATGGATGTGCTGTCTGTCACCTGAGCTTCTCATGTGGGACCGTGCACCCACTCATCTAAAGTGGGGGGCAGAAGGAAGGCGCAGAAAGGGCACCTCCCAGGGAGGGTGCAGCCAGCCCCTCCACTGCACACCAGTTCCTCAGTCACTGTCATCTACCCTCGGTCCACCTGCTCCCCACACTGATCCATCCCGTCTGCGGAAACAGCAGCTCAGTGGTTCAGGGGCGACTTCATGTGGTTTTGCACAATGACGTGTTTGCTAGAAGAGCTTTTGTGTCTTGCTTTCCTCTCACCCGGGTCCGAGGTACTAAAACAGTGTGACAGCATGGTCAGCTAGTCTACTGCATTCACTTGGGGACAGTCTCGGTGCTGTGGAGCCAGAGGTGTGTGTGCTGTCGTCAGACACAAGGGAAGCACAGGCGTCTTGCCAAGACCGGAACATGACCTTGTGTGGTCTTTGGAGACAGGACCCCCCAACAGTCCTATTTAATTTTCCAACATTTGAGTTTGTTCTAAAATATTGCAGTGGAAGAGAAAGTGGTGATGTTGGTGACCTTTCACCCGACAAGTGCATGCTTCTGTGGAGAAACTGTTGATTATCTGTGTGTTGTTCTTTCTTTCTCTCTCTCTTTTTTTTTTTTTTGTTATCCATATCAAGTGAAAATGACCTTTATTTTAAATTTTGCATTTCCTTAAAGTGAAGACTTTTTTATCCACTCTGAGAAATGCACAATGACTAGGAAGGTGCATGCCACAGTTTTTCTTCCATATGTACATCAGAAGTCATGTATGGTGCTGATAATTATAACCTGAAGGCTTTTCATCCTATAGCTGTGATTCCATTTCTTTCCAGGTCCTGGGTGGGATCGAACCAAGTTTGTATAAAGGAGACATCTGGTATACCCCCATTAAGGAAGAATGGTATTATCAGATAGAAATCCTGAAGCTGGAAATCGGAGGCCAGAGCCTTAACCTGGACTGCAGAGAGGTATTACCTGTGTCTCTGTCACACCTGTCTGAGTAGACCTGGGTACTCCGGTGTCACAGCTGGGCCCCGTGCCTGAAGGCCAATGTCCACGCCATTGTAAGACAGGCCGGAAGTTCCCCACCAGGAAGGATGTGAGGTCTTGAGGGACAGGCACGGAAGTCATTACGTCCCCTCCCTCTTCTCACCACCAGGCCTTAACAGGGCAAAGTTTACATCCAGGGGGCAGCAAGGAGGACCTTCTCCACCTACTCTACCTTTCTCCAGTGCTCTTGGCCTGATGGTTCCTCAACGCTGCAGAAAAGAATACAATAAGCAGATTTTTAAAATCAGTAATGAAAAACAAAGGAGCCCAAAACCAAGCCAATTTTTTTTAAAGTCCTTAGCTTTATCCTCCAGCCAAGGTAACCCTCTGCCTCCTGCATACACAACTTTTACCTGTATGTGTGCATGCCCGGCAGCGCTGCAGCCGGCCCGTGCGTGCGCCAGCTGTGATGCCCCATCCGGTGGCAGCTGTGTTCGCAGCGTTGTGCTGTCTTGGCATCTTTGTGCCACGTGATGACGTCACCAAGACGAGGGCTGGAGGGCACCTCTGTCTTCTGTGCCATTTTAGAAAGGTTGATGAGAGGCCAGCACTCACTTTGTTGAAGTGGCTCACGGCGAGTCACCCCAGCCTCTGAAGGTACATGGAGATGGGGTCCGGGGCCTCGTGAGGGACCGAAGGCAGCTGGGGTGAGCACCTGGCTCTGCCCGGGGGTGGCTGCCACTGTTGGCGTGTCTCTTCCCTCCCTGGCCTCAGTTTTCCTGTCCCTGTGTTCTGAGAACACAAGGTGAGCTCTAGTCACCAGTGCACTCGCGTGGCTGCCTGAGTCTGCTGACGGGCAGGAGGATGTGGACGTCACTCTGCTTTCTTCCCTCCCTCTGCAGTACAATGCGGACAAGGCCATCGTGGACAGCGGCACCACATTGCTGCGCCTGCCCCAGAAGGTGTTTGACGCAGTGGTGGACGCAGTGGCCCGCACATCTCTGGTGAGTCCACGGCGGCTTGTGAGCTGCGATGGCCTTGTATGCTCTCCAGGACCCAGGGTGGGCATCTATAAAACGTCACCAGGGAGCTCTCGCTCCGGGCTTGAGACATTCACTGGCAAATAGTGCAAAGAATGCCCTTCTTGTCTTTGCAGTGCTGAGTGCTTGAACCTCGAACCTCTGCACTGAGCTGCATCCCCAGTCTTTATTTTTTATTTTGAGACAGGGTCTCCCTAAGCTACTAAGTTATCTGTGTGGAACTCAAACTTGGGATCCTCTGTCTCAGCCTCCCAAAGTGCTGGGATTGTAGGTGCGCACCACCATACCTGCCTTACAACACCTTCGCTTTAACCCCAGAGGACCTGGCTTGGTTGACGTACACCTTAGTTACTTTCTGTCTGCCGATATCAAGTACCTGACACTCTCAAGTTAGAGGAGAGGTTTATTTTGGATCGTACTTCGTTTCAGTCCATAGTTGGCTGACTCCACAGCAGGGTAGCATGGCAGAGGAGAAACAGTCCACAGCAGGGCAGGCAGGAGAAGGCAGATCTTTCTTTCCCTTTTATTCCATCCAGGCTGCAAGCCCATTGGCTGGTGTGACCCACATCCTGGATAGGGGTAGGGTCTTCCCTCTTGCACAAATCCATTATCCGCCTCCAGAACTGTGTTGCAGTAATCGGTGGGCTCGTCCAGTATCACACACCCATAATCAGTACCGTGGACCCTTGACTAAGGAGCCCAATCCATTCCCAAGGGCTGGTTGTAAATCAAGGTGGTCAGCGCAGGTTCGGGCTCCTCTACGCAGCCTTCAAAGTCTCTCTCCTATACACAGGCAGATCTCAGTGTCCTTGGAGAGACACTGGCCCGGGATTTCTCAGTGAACCCCACACAGGACAGGATGCTGTCATACTCCTTCCAGACCTTTTTTAAGGATCCAGTCTGTATCTGAGGCCGTCTGGAAGCGCAAGTGGCTGGCCTTTGGGTCATAACTCAAGACTTTGGTTGTAAGATAAAACTAAAACTCCAGTCGCAACCCAAGTTGTTTGTATGGCAGGTCGGTCGTAACTCCAGGGTCCACTGCTGTACCACACATCTGTCATCCAGCCACCCCACATCCCCAACCGTGATACTTGTGGCTTTGTGGGGCATTTTATTACAGTCTGTAGCAATGTAGTATATTTCGCATGAGACAGAAACTACATTCCTGTGAGCGTGGTGTGCATTAGCACTTAACCAACCCTGCCAGAGGGTTGTAGGAAGCACAAGATGAACACAGCTGCTGCAAATGGTTTTACGGTAGATTTTGTTTCCATGAGTAGAAGGAGCACACCCTAAAATGCCCATAAAAGGTGCCGTGCAGTGAGCACACAAGTCAGCGCCATCATCATCGGTCAGCACACTCGTGTGTTCCTCAAGTGCCCTCCGTAACTGTGCTCTGTGTGCATGGCTGGCAGCACGGTATCCGGTTCTCATGGTGACACAGACCCGGCAGCCGAGTGCTGCAGCACTGCGGGCAGCAGTGACTGCGTCCCTGGGTGCCAGGACCTGCTGGGCTCCCTCCTGACCTCGGCGGACCCGGCTCGGGCAGACTGCTGATGCCGCTGTCCTGTCTCGCACATGGCCACGTCTTACTGAAGCAAGTCGGGAAGGCCGCCAGATGGACCGAAGGTGTCCTCCTCTGGCTTCCACCTGGCCGCTCCGGCGTCTTAACCCCAACTTGACTTTTACAGAAGATCAAGGCCAGTTGGCCAAACCACGGATTACTGTACAGCCGTGCTCTGGAAGACAGATTAAATCGTGGTGGAGGAAACCAGGTGTTTGGGGACCTGCAGCTGGCATTCCTGTTTTTGCCCCAGCTTTCCAGCTGGTGAGGGCATCAGAGTGGACTGAGCAGCACTGGGCGCAGGCCAGCATTGGGGCCCAGTGGCATTGGGCTTGGTCCAGTTTCTGCCGCTCACTCGGTGCCTGGAGAGAGGTCCCCAGGGAGCCCTGTGTTCCCGTCTCTGGATTGTTAGGGCTTTGGGGTGAGGAGCCCCACACCCGCTGTGTTCAGGCCTGGGTCAAGGGCGCCTGCATTGGAGGGAGCACTGCTGCATTGGGTTTGGGTTCGAGGAAAACGCTACCTTTGGCTTAAGTGTTTTCTCGACATCTGCCCCCATGTGTCCTCCTTGTCACCAAAAACAAGTGTCTCCAGGAAAGCCTGCGTCCTGGCTGCGCAAGTGGCTGACGTCCCACCGCTCCATTACATCAGGTCGGCCCCACCGCACACAGGAAATGCATAGATCACTTTGCTGCAGATCGCAGCAGAAATGCAGGGAGAGGGGCTTCAGTCATCCTGACCCAGAACTTCAGAAGCCACAGGGAAGAAACGGCAGCCACATCCCCAGAACACGGGTGACAAAGGGAGACACACGACCCTTCCTGTGCTCACAGTGAGGCGTGGCCTGGAGCAGCTGAGACGGGGAAGCAGGGCCAGTCCCCGGCTCGTCCAGCTCTGCTCCATCAGGAAAAGGCCTCGGGGGCCGTAGGTCAGAACGTGTGTTGGTAGCTGGACCCCACTTAAATGAGCAGCAGTAGCCTGATTCTTCAGCAGTAAAACTAGCAGAGCGAGGCCTCCGGCCCCCGTGGGAGCTGTCCGCAGTGACCGGGAACGTGCTGGAAGGGTCAGGTGGATCCCACAGGCAGCCACCCACCTGGCCCCCGTGACACCCTGAGCTCATCAGACCCGTGCGCCACAGCTGCCTACGCAGGAAGGAAGCAACCACAAGGAGAAGGAAAGCGCTGACGACATTTGTTTGCCTTGTCTGATTAGCTGTGATTTCATGTGGTGACTGCATCAGGAGTTGCTGGGCCGGCTGTCTCTGTCTGTCATCTGTCTGTCTTGGGCTGGGAGATGCCTCCAGGGGCTTTGTCTGTGTCGGCCGAGATGTGTTTGTCCCTGTTCTCTGTTCGGTGCTTTGAAAGCAGCTCTTGGCCGGGGCTGTCTTCCCAGCTCAGGAGGGAGCTGGGTTGGGCTCTGCACTGCGTGCAGCTGGTCAGCGGGGCATCTGTCCTGTCGGTCTCTGTCCAGAAGGGTGGGCAGGCACACAGCATGGGCACAGCCAGAGCCCGGCCCATCCTGGCCCTGTCCCGCATGACCCTCACTGTGGAGCCGGCCGTAGAAGGGCACACGAGCCAAGGTGACTTTAGCACAGTAAAGCTCAGATCCGAGGCTGACACGTGTCCCCAAGGACACGTGTCAGCCCCAGCGTAAGACTCCACACATCTGATGAAGGGCCGTGTACCCCAAATCTGAGCGGTACCACTTCAGCCAGTGACTCGCCCTCTCTGAGCCCTGCTCTTCCTCACACATCACAGCTGTCACAGGCCGCCGGCCGTGTCCAGCCAGGTGCCTCTCCCCCGTCAGCCAGTCTGGGGAGCACCCTCCCCTGTGACACCATTGCAGATTGACTTCACTTCCTTAAAAAGCAGAAACACATGAGCATGGCCTTAGAAGCTGACCGCAGGGGACATGAGTGGGTGAGAGGGCCCTCTCCCCAGCTGGGCAGCATGCTGGCCACATGTGATGTCACTGCTTCCTCCCGTGCCCCCTCTTGGCATATCGGGTCCTATCACTTCCTGCCTCTTCCCCTGGCCTCCTGGACCCTCTGTCCCCCAGGTATCTGTGGCCACCCTGTACCTCAGGGTCTTTGGGCTTTGCGTCAGGCTGGTCCACTCACCTGCTGGCGCTCTGGGGACCTGGATCATTCCTGGGAGTGCAGGGGACCAGCACACAGGTGAGCTGCCCACGTGTCACAGGACCGCCCCATCACAGATCCTAGGGATGGCACGCGGACACCCGCCTGCCGGTCCGCTCGCCTGTCCACGGCACCACACAGTGGTTCCTGTGGGACCCCGGCTGTGGCCCGCGCCCACCTCATCGCCAAGGGCCACCGTCCCACTGGACTACAGCCCATCTCCCTCTGGAAAGGCGCCCAGTGACCACCCTCCTCTACATTCCTGCTGTCCCTGCAGGCCTGGGAGGCGCTGCCCTTCCCTCACAGACACCAGCCAGGACGGGCCTCCTGCACTCAGGGAACTCACACTCCTGAGGGTGTCACCACCCCTGACAGCAGTGGGCGTCCTGCCTTGCTGGGTGCTGTTCTTTCTCCCCACACAGTCTGTGAGTCTCACCTGTGTGCAGGTGGCAGGCAGTGTGGGGAAGGCAAGGACCTCCGTCCTGAAGGAATTTGTCTGCATTCAGGAAGCAGACATTTGTCACCTGGGAGTGTCGCTGTCAAATGCCACAAGGACTGAAGGAGTTGAGCCCGGGGGGTGACTGGAGTGAGTTGTTCCAGCCTCAGAAGAGCTGACCAGGCTGGGCTCCTGGGGCCTGGGGCTGGTGGTGCCCGAAAGGACCTCAAGGGCCCTGTTCCAGGGAGGGTGGTCTCCAGGCTCCTGACTTCCTACACAGAGCTGAGCAGACACCCGAGAGCTGTAGCGGGGTCAGCGGTTTCCGTGAAGGAGGAGGACAGGAGCCTCCCCAGGGAGAAGAGCTCAGGGCCCTGGGGGCCTCCGGCCTCAGGCTTTGGGGCAGGACTGAGCATTTGCTCTGGGGCGCGTTTCCCACCTGTGAGGGGCTGCCTCGGCCCCTCCGTGGGCGGTGGAGCTCTTGGCCTTGTGAGGCCCTTGGAGGAAATGTCTGTCATGGCGCCCACGGCCGCAGGGGCCAAATCTGCATGGTTAGTGACGTGGTGATCAGGGCAGGCGTCGCCTGGGCTCAGGAGACCACTGTGCACAGGCACGGGGACCTCCTGCGGCTAACCTGGGCCACCTGGGTGCGTCTCCCATGGTGCTTAGACCTGGGCAGTGGGCCCAGTCCCAAAATCTACTCCAAGGCGAGCCCTCCTTCATTCCCAGCCTCTTCCTTGGCTACTTTCTTCCCCAGCCACATTTAAGACTTGTCTTAGATTTAGAAACCCGTTGCGGGCCGCTGTGTGGCCTGGGGTGAGTTCCAGCACCTCTCCGTGCCTCAGTTTCCTCATCTGTACAGCGCAGGGAGCTGTTCCCTCCTGGCTGGGCTGCTCAGCATGGCGGGAGCCGCTGCTGCAGAGCTTTTACCCCATGCCCAGTGCTCTCCATGCTGCCTGCGTCTTTGCAGCTGTCGTTGTTGTTATTTTGTCACCGTTGTCACTTCCTGGGACCGTTGTCCCACTGCTCTGTGCAGAGGAAGCAGCGTCCACGCCCGTGGGCATCCGGCCAGCAGCGCTGCTTCCTGTGGACGGGTCAGGCCAGTGGCCGCTGCTCACGGGTGGGTCTCGTCTAGATTCCAGAGTTCTCCGATGGCTTCTGGACGGGCGCCCAGCTGGCCTGCTGGACCAGCTCGGAGACGCCGTGGACGTACTTCCCGAAGATCTCCATCTACCTGCGAGAGGAGAACTCCAGCGAGTCCTTCCGCATAACTGTCCTGCCTCAGGTACCGACTTTGCTTCCTGCTTCTCTCATTTTTTTTTTCTTTATGCATAACACAAAAGTCCGCATGTTCACACTGGCGGGGGCTCGTGGGTATCGCAGCGCCCCCAAGGCATTGTCACAGTAACGAGGCCATGTTGGTGGCTGCCCTTGAGTCCGCAGGTCCCAGCCAGGCCGGCTCCTGGCTCTTGGAGCCCGGGTCCAGACTCCTGGCTGAGGACAGCGACTGCCCTTGGGATGGGAAGAGCTCAGGGCCACAGCTCCATGGTGTGGCCCCAAGGAGGGCGAAGAGCTGAAGGTGCTTTTGTAACTTCTGCCACGGCATCATTTTTAATCTTCGTTGCACCGAAAAGGAGTAACTGCTGAGAGGCTGAGGCAGGAGGATCACTACAGGTTCAAGGGCAGCCTGGGTTATGTGGTGAGGCCCTGGCTCATTGTCTTAACTGATACATTTTAGATGTGCGTAATGATCGCGTCCATCGTAGGGAATTTGCACCTGTCCGTGTTAAACCTTGCTGCTGCTTTTTTTCCCGTGTCCCCTCTCTTCAACCCTGCTTCCCTTCCTTAATTTCCAACAACTGTTTCTATTCTTTCCTTATATTTTCTGGGTTTTTTTCTCGTCCCACCCTTCCTCTCCCATCTGTCCCTTTGTTCCCCCTCCCATTGAGCATTCTCTTCCCATTCCCAACATCTGTGGCTCATTTTTTAAAACATAAAATAGAATGAGGCGGGTTGTCAGGGATGAAGGCATCACGGTTTTCCCTGGAATTCCAGTCCCCACGGACTCCCACTTTACCCTCAGCGTGTCAGGAAACCGACCGT